AAATTATAGATCATTCCGGATTATGGACATCTGGATTAAGGACTTTGTACTGTATCAGTGACCTGAACTCTTAATTTAATTCCATAACATAATGAAGGCTGTATTTTCTTTCAAATTGGAATCCGGCTTTCCACATCTTGTTACACCTTGATCCAATAATTCTTATTTGCATTATGTGAAGCACCAGCAATTTCTTTCCAGTAGCACTGTCTTTATGTCAGCTTTTCATTGATCTCATTTGTCACGGTTTTAATAGTTCAAACCCTTCTGGTAGCAATGACATCTTCAGTTCACAACATGTAACCACAGCACTTTGAACTAGCATCTAAAGCATGTCAATACTCCTGTTTTCTTGCTTGCCATAAATAGTAGCTCACTGCATTCCTTTTATAATACTAATAGTCTAACTGGGCTGCCTGGGCCAATAACCTTTCAGTGGAGGAACTAAGAAGTACTTTGAAATGCATACTTAGTTAACAGAAATAAAAACACAGGAACATGACTAAAATCAATAATTAGAGTTTATTTTCAGTACTTATGTATTATCACAACCACATTAGTAGAAGTTCCCAGAGTTTCAGAATATGCCAAACTTTGTTAATCCCCACATAACAATTATTGAGGCAACCATACACTTGACAAATACTTAGTTTCCAACACTGCCATTTTCGTATGCATTCTTTTTGTTGTATGACAAGTTCTAGTGGCTTTTATAAAAAATTAGGATTATTTTTGCTACAAAATTTTCACCTCAACAAAAGCCTATTTGTAATTAGGTTTAATGACTGTTTTGGGGATAAATATATAGTTGAAACATAAAATATGTATATGAAAAACTTCTGTTATATCATTTTCATTTATTACCGCTTCTCCACATTTCTTTACAAAATCCATCAAGTAGAAAATTCCACCTTTGGTTTGTGATATCTGAAAACCTTCAAGTTCACGGCTATCATCTTTATCACCCCCCCTCATTAAACATGGTAGTTGGCCATAAATTACACCAAGCATTTTTTAAAGTATCTGGAGGCACATCTCCCACGATCCACACAGCAGATTTTATGCTAAAATGTTTAACAAATTCTTGAATAGTCATGCCATTACTCAAGAAATTTAATGTGGATTTAAAAAATTCTGCTTTATATTTCATTTCACCATGCATACTATTCCGATATGCACCAGCTGAATGATGGACTTACAATATTTAGGTGTGGTGTGGTGTATTTAATTATGGCAAAGCTCACTAGGGCTATCTGCCTAGGGGGAGGGATGCCTTCATAAAGGACTTTCTAAGGGAAACTGGCTCGTATACACGTTACACATGGGGAAAACCACGAAAACACCCATGCAGCCAGCCCGTTCGCGGGATTCGAACCTCGGACCGAACTACCAGTGTTCAGCGACTTTACCGCTCGGCCACTGGTGGGCCTTACAATATTTAGGAAAGAACGATGTGGATACATTATCTTTCATTAAAACTTCAATTGAAGTATGAGCCGAACAATTGTCTATAGTCAGGAAAATGTTTACTTTAGCAGGTAAACCAGCTGAATTCAAATGTTGCCGAGCCTCAGGTATGAAATGATTTTCAAACCAATCATTCATTAACGCTTGTGTCATCTATGCTATTTTATTTGCACATTATATAATGGGAAAATTTTTTACTCCTTTAAATGCACGAGGTTGCATATTTTCTCCGATTGAAAAAAGTTTACATTTGGGCGGTCTGCAGCAGTTGCTCAAGCTAAATTTGTTAGTCTCAATTTGGAATCTTTGACACCAGTTGGAGCCTTTTCTGTAGAAGTTGCCAAGGTATTTCGTGGTACACATTGCCATAAAAGACCAATTTCATCAGCATTGTAAACTTGTTCTGGAGATACCTTTTCACTATTAATGATTCCTGCCATTATCATCATAAAAAAGAAGTACTTTATCAGTGGTACAATTAAACAAGCTGGCATAACATTCAATAACCTCTTTTTCAGTTGCAGTTATCCATCATGATGCCATTGCCTAATACATGTAACTCAGTACATCTATGATGCTGCCTTGTACCTTCATTCTAATGCCGTCATTATGGTATTTTTTGTACTTTGTATGTGTTGGTATACCTTAACCCTTTCGTGCTAGATGAACTAACATCTGAAAGCTGAGTATGGACTGAGTTGAATCTCATTGGGAAACAAGACAGTGGTTAATTGCTTCATCACCCACTTTCAGTGATCTGACACTACTTCAAATGTCTTTTATGATGCACTGTTATAGTATTGTGCAGATGATCAATCTGTGAATAAAAATTCTTATAATTCAAAAATCAAGCCGCACTTTAGCAGGATGTTCTCATTTTTGAGATCCAATTATTGCCTGTCCATGGAGCCTAAACTATGTTTAGCTGTTACCTATTTCTTGTACAGTTGTTGAGAAAACTTCTGCAGAGCATATACATATTCCAATCTGGAGAAATGCTATCCAAAGTTTAGAGATAAAATTTTACACGATTCTACATTTTGTTGCAGCTTTAATGAGATCTTCTACCAAATTTCCTGTAATTCTTCAGTGAATAAAATCATTAAGATGTTTTGATGTAAGAAATTCCATGCTTATAGGTTTGTTCTTTCATATTTTCAATTTCTGATTAATATAGCTCATTGACTATACCAGTGGTTGGCAAACCATGTCTCACGAGCCAAATCTTGAAAATAGGAACACAAAGGCCATAAAATTTTACAGAAGCATAGAAACAACTGAAGACATATCCGCCACTGTTATTCCTAGAAAAAAATTTTTGTATAGATTTCGGCATTTTGATTGTACTGATTATACATCAAATTGTGCTATTGTAGTAATTGTTATATGCCAAATTTTAACTAATGAAATGCCTTGAATTAATATACCATTCAATGGCAGTTTTAGCTTGAATGAGAAACCAAATAACATAAAAATGTAGTTTAGTTTCAAAATATCAGGATGTTTAGCTTCTTAGACCTTTCAAATGTGAAGTTTTTCCGGTCTCTGTAACAAAACTTTCCTAACTGAATTTAGGCAGCCTAAAATACATAGACAATGTTTGGGATGCGTATAATATGAAAATAACTTCAAATTAGAAATGTCTAAAAACTAAAAACCCAGATATATTGATACGAAATTTCATTTTTACGTTATTTGGTGCATCAAGTTAAAATTCCCATTTATCAATCACAAGATACTTACTTACTCTTGTATCATTCATCGAGAAGCGTTTTATGCACAGACATTTCCAGAAGAAATTTGTAAAGTTATGGAATTGGTGATTAAGATTATCAACTCCATTATAGCTAAAGTTCTTAATCATCACCAGTTTAAAGAATTTTTAGTTGTAATGGAGAGTGAGTACGCAGATCTTCTGCTGCATAACAAAGTACATTGGTTATTAAGAGTAAACGTTTTGAAGCGCTTCATGTCCTTATTAACAGAAATTAAAGCATTTCTCCTTGGAAGGGGTGTTTTTTATCCAGAACTAGCCAACGATCAGTGGATCCAAAAATTTTATTTCATGGTAGATAGATATTACATCTAATCTAAATCAGCTTAATCAAAAACTACAGGGAAAAGGAAACATAATTTTTTCGTTGTTAGAAGAAGTCATTTCATTTGAAAACAAATTATCTCTTTTTCCTCAAGATTTTGAAAGAGAAACTTTCCGAGCCCATTGAAACATCACCAGGAAAATAATTCTGATATTGATATTTGCTATTTCAAAAACACAGTTTTAAATTTGAGAGAAGTTTTTCTCAGCAGGTTTCAGGAATTCAGAAACAACGAAGCGACATTAGCCTTTGTTGAAAAATCTCTTAATACATCTGTAACAGAATTAAATTTTACTCCCTTTAATATTGGCATTGGCAACTTTGAAATCCAATTGCTGGATTTAAAAAACAAACAATTATGCTACTCGAAATTTGAACATCTTAGGTCTGGTGTAGAAACACTGGAGAAAACCAGATATGAGTTTAGTTCACAGCACAAATGGTCTGCTTTGAAAAATCTGCAGAAGGAAGACATGTTGATTTTTAACACATGGAACAGTATACCTAACTCATAAAGTCAGCTGAAAAAACTAGCGTTTGTTGTTCTTTACTTATTCAGGTTACATATTCATGTGAATAATCATTTTCAAGCATGAACCATATCAAGACTAAATGGAGAAGTCGTGTTATTGATGAGAACTTGAAATCCCACATAAAATTAAAAACAACAACGTACAAACCTGAGTTAACAAACTGTGCAAGGAGATGCAAGGCCATTGTTCACATTACTGTTTGTTCATCGTTATCATGATTTAAGTTTTTAGATATTGTACAATTTTATTTTATCAATAAATAGTACAGTTGTTTAGTGTAATATTAAGTTTTATTCGACATACCTATATAGTTTAACTAAGACTTAAAAACTGAAGTAATTAATTTTAGAGAGAGGAATGAAAAAAGATGTCATGTTGAGAATTGAGAAAGGTATGTTAAGATGGTTTGGACGTATATAGAGAATCGACAGAAGCTACATGAAACGAGTATATAAGGTAAGTGTGGATGAAAGAGTTGGGATAGGATCGACCTCAGAGAACGAACGTTGATCAGATTGAGGATGTTCTTTCTAAAAGCCAGCATAAGAGTACTCTAATTAAGTGAATAACAATATACTTATATAATTTAAGTTAAAAAAAATGTGTCTCTCAAAAGAGATTTCAATCGTTGAAGTGTTGATAATTGACTCTGTTGACTAATGAGTTTGCCTACCACTGGACTTTAGTAATTTTATAGTTATTTACTCTATATCTTTATTATTACTCTATATCTCTGTTGTTGTTGCTTGTTTGATTCAAACTAACAAATTATAATTTTAATAAGTGATAATATCTTTATATGCTATAGTTTTTATGTGCACCATCTTTCGTATTAAAGATAATTAATATATCATTTTCTTCTATCATATATCAAAAACTTCGTTATTTTATTTTGTACTAGATTGCTGCATTTGATATGGACCATACTATTATAACCACAAAATCTGGAAAAGTATTTCCTACTGATATGAGTGACTGGAAGTAAGTTAGTACTTACTTTTACAGTATGTTTATGAGAGCTATTATATTTTAAATTACAATTTCTCTGTATGTTGGTTGATCTCTGTTTATTAATTATATGCATGTATTATTATTTACTGTGACTGCTGTATAATGTAACTATTGAATAATATATAAAATTTCTCAAAAAACTTAAACTTCTGCAAAATTATTACAATTATAATTTTTCCATATTATTTGTATTTTTATTTCATTTATTAATGCTGTGTCTTTTAATTTTGTTTAATGTTATCTATTTAATTCAAAATTTAATAGATTTTTATAAATCTAGTATTCACTAACTTAGTTTTTCAGTTTATCATTGAAACTTGTATGCAAATTGGGTACTTACATATTATCTTGTCAGTCGCTGGTGGAAATTTCAACAACGATCGCCAGTTGCCACTGTGGAATTCTAAAGGACATGATGTCCATTTTTCTAATAAACAATCTTCATTCGCTTGTATTATCAACAGATATAAATTGAGCATACAAAAAAACATGTATTAATATTCATTCGAGATTTTAAATAAACTGATCAATCAATTTTTGAAAACCTATCGCAGTTATTCTGACAGGGGAAAATCCCTAATGGCCTTAAAAATAGCAACAAAATAGTCATATTCTTTATAAATATTATGCCATGTAAAATTACTTAAATAGGGATCTAAGTGCTGATGAACGGTACCACAGTGCTTTTTTGTTGTACCATTTTGCTGAACCCCAGAGTCTTTTGATATTTAAGTACGTACACTATTTTCAGAATCTACAAAATTTTACTGAAGATTTACTTTCACATGTGAAAATGCTGCAGCTTCTAGTTCACTAGTTTTATATCCTTTCAAACAGTTGGAAATAACAGAGTTGTCAGCTATATTTTCTTTTATTGCCTTTTTTGTCAAAGTAGCAGCACTTCTATTACTGTTACAATTAATCAGTCTCTCTGCAAAATCCACCTAATAGCCACTGCTGCAAAAATATTCGACCCACTTTGTTTTTATTCTTCATAAAAAGGCTTTCGTAAATTTCTAATATTTTGCTAGGCCTTCGGATTTTACCAAAAGCACTGTTCAAAACTTTACAAGTATAAACTTCCTACATATAGTTATTCTAGTATATTACTCTTTTGTCAGCCATGTCAAACTGTTTTCTCCCCCGTTCAGCAGATATTAATTATCTCAAATCACATTGCTTCTTGAATGGATATTCTGTTGCCGCAATTTTTAATATTGCATCATCTCTGTTTATCCATTTTCAAGCAAAGCGCAATATCATGTCCATTAATACTCACTTTTTTAATGTTAAGATTCCATAAATTTGAAAATATTGACTTCTTGTTCTTCTGTAGAAGGCAGATCCCAAATTTTTATAATTTTTTTTTTTTTTTTTTTAACTTTAAGAAAAACTGAAGCAATAACACTTAAGTTCAGTCCTTGTTTATAAAAACCAAAAGTGGCTTATCAAGAATTGAGCTAAGTTACATGAAATAAAAATGCAAATGTGCAGTGACATCACACTCATCTGTAATTAGACTTGTAACTAAATTTCTGGATTTTGGGTGAATTTTTGAAAAATCATTCGATTTTTTTCAACAATTTGATGTTTATGATTTTAAAATTTTAACATCTAAAAATGTATTGGATGTGAAGTTTTGAAATTTTCACAGGTTACAAAACAAACTTTTTTCTCTCTTTTAAAATAAGAATGATTTAAAAAGAAAAAGATATTAATTGTGCAATTTTCTGTATTTGTATTTTAAAATGTGTTTGCTTCTGAAGCAGCCAGAGAAAAAAATGCATTTCTCATGGAAAAATTGCTTTCGAGTTTGCTGTTTGCTGTCTGGGTGTGCTTCATAATGAAGTTCGCCATTTTGGTTTGTTGAATGACGAATTTACAATATTCATTTTCTCATTTTAGCTTCAAGTAAAATGCTCATTGTAACATTGTTATTACATCCAGTTTCCAAAACTGAGTATTCAAAGTAATTTATGCATTCAGTAATTGATGTGCACTTATTTTTCTGTTTTTCATAAATGTCTTAGAATTTATTGCTGTGTTTTAATAATGACTAAAAATGTCATCATTGATAATGTGTAACTGAGACAAAAACAGAAAGTAAAACACAATTTAGAAAAAAATGTTTATACAATAAACTTTTTTTAAAAATAGGTCTGATAATTAATGCACTAAAAGAAGAAGCTTTATCATATATAGTTTAATGTAAATAATAGTTTAAATAATTATATTTACAGAATTTATCCACAATTTTGTATCATGAATAATAAAAGCCTGGGGTACCTAAATAACAAAATCTGTTAATTTAAGTACATTGTTGAACATATACCCATTAACTTTTTAATTTATCATGGGCACCCCATGCTTTTATTATACATGATATGAAACTAGATTAATTCTGTAAATAGAATTATTTAATATATTATTTCCATTAATTATATGATAAATTATTTTTTCTCTTTTTTTTCTCTCTTTTTTTTTTTTTTTTTTTTTTTTTTTTTAGATGCATTAAATATTGTATCCATTTTAAATGAAAACTTTAAAAAAAAACTTTTTTTTATTAATAATTTATTTAACTACCATTTTAATTAGCTAGGCATATTTGGCATTGATAATGCTTTGCTCTTTGTATAATTATTAAAAAATTTATGGCTTTAATTTTAGGTTTTGCATAAGTTGAAGAAATTATTTTTGCCTGAAGATTTCTGGCAAGTGCAATCAAAAATTTTCTTGGGGCAACTAATTGACAGAGATCAATGAAATCTGTTTTAATTAAAAAAATAAAACTGAACACTATTTTCAGCGTTTTTTTTTTTTTTTTTTTTTTTTTTTTTATGTCTTTACATTTGTATTACTTTATCATTTTAACAAGATTTTATTAATAATGTTATTTTTACGAACTTTGTTTTTAAAATATTGTATCTCTACTTTGTTAAGGTTTCAGTGTTTTGGCCTTATATTTAAATAATAAAAAGATTAAACAAAAACTGGGATGCACTTCTGCTTTTTAAAATGTTAACTTTTTTTTTTTTTTTTTTTTTTTTTTTTTTCAGAATTTTATATGCTGAGGTACCTGGAAAGATGAAAAAATTATATGAAGAAGGTTATAAAATTGTTGTATTTACAAATCAGGTATTAGCAGTTAACCTTTCCAAAATTAAAAATAAATATATAATTTATGATCATTTGTCAGCAGTTATTTTACTTTTAATTTATTTTCAGTGTAAAAATTGCTTCTTGTGTAAAATGTTTAGATGTTACATTTATATTAGGCTTCATAATCATTTAGATATCATGTTATATGAAGAGATTAGCTACAGTGTACTTTGTGTAGAGCTTTATTACTCTGCACCCCCGCCTCCAAAGAAATGGCTGAAAATATTTAATTTTTAATTAACCAATTAAATAATAAAAATGTTATTCAAATTCAAAGATTTCATTAATGCATCTAAATGAAACTCTATACGTTCTCTAGTCTATGTTTATTTCTTATCATCTGAACTATGCTTTTCTTTATGCAGAGGCATTTGGAGAATATTTGTAACTTCAAGTGATAATAATGCAATAAAACTAATATGTACAGTACAAAATCTGTAATCCGGATGTCCATAATCCGGGCCTCAAAGCTACAAACTTTATGTGCATGCATAAACGCATAATGCGTTTACGCATGCGTGTTTAACGTATAACGGATGGTATAAGTTTGGCTAAAATTATCTAAGGCATTTAATTTAATGTTGCAGATTCCGCTGTTCCTTAATCTTCTTATTGGATCCAACATTATGTTTTGCAGACTGTTAGAACAATTTTATAAAAATTAAGCTTGAACTTTCGATTATGTCAAAAAGAGTTTCCAATTCTGGAGCTGCCAAAGGATCTACAAAGCAAAAGCATATTTCGATGTCCATTAAACAAAAAGTGGAATTGCTGCAAAAAAATGGATAAAGGCCTATCCATCTCAAAATTATGCGAGAAGTATGGCATTGGAAAGTCCATTATATATGACACAAGAAAAAGGAACTTTTTGAATTTTTTGTGGAAGCATCTTAAACAACTTACATTGAAAGAAATGTTTAATAAAGTAAACAAATAAATATTAAGCTATTTTCGTAAATTTTGATACCCTTTAGATCATAGTTGTTCTTTATTTCATAAATTATGATTTCATATTTTTAATTGTATAATTTCTGCATGCCATCTTACCAGATTTAAATTGATGATCTATAATCCGTGAAAAAACCTAATCCAGAATCGCCGAAGTCCCCGACGAGTCCGGATTACGGACTTTGTACTGTATTACAGTTTTGAATTACACTCACAAAGTGAAAAAGATTTAATTATAAAGTAAAAATTTTATTTGTAAAATATCCCCCCCCTGAAAAAAATTCAGTGTACAAGAAAAAATTGTGATTTATTTATTCTCTGTCACTTTTTTTAATGTGTCCTATTCACTGGAAACATCTGTTTGCTATTTGATTTTACATTCCACAGTATACTATGGTACATTACACCTCCAAACCGCAATCAAGCAATCAGTCTAACTGATGCCAATTCAACAAGTTGTCATTTCTTGTTACATTTGCCCCATGCATGTTTCTATGCTGTAAGTGATTAGCAATTCAGTTAACGTTTGAAAGATCTGATGTTCAAATTTCTATAATTTTTTTTTTTTTTTTTTTCTTCCTAAAAGTAGTAGGTAGTGTTTTGGTAGTGTGTACAAAGTAAGCTATTTCATTAATGAGAGGAGTCATTGCCAATTACAATAAAAATGAGAGATGCACAACTAGATGTCAGCAGTTCCATATGCAAAATTTAAATGTTCTATAACTAGTCATTTTTGAGTTATGTAAAATGCACACATACTTACCTTTATACAGGCATCATGAAAAAAAAAGTCCCTTTTGAATCCTTTTACAATTTGTTTTGGAAGGGGGGGAACGCATTCCTTCATTGCAAAAAAATCATCTAAATGGATTCGTGATTGGTCAGTATGGATATTTCTTTTTAATTGTGATACTTGAAATCTTTTGCGATTGTAATACTTTCTTTACTTCATATGAGGAAGTAAAAAATGCTGTGCTTTTTAATATTATTTTAAAAACATTAAAGTTAATATAAGCATATATAAAATGTATATAAATATATCAACTACAAATATAATTTTGCTTGATGTAGAAGAAAGAGAAAACAATCGGGATAGTTGTAATTCCACTGTGCTTATGTAAATTGTAAGTCTTTTTTACTTGCATTATTATTCATTGATTCAGAAAGCTAAAAACTTATTTCCATCAAATCTTGACATAGAAAACTTCAAAATATCAATTTTAGTCACATATAAGTATCATATTCTCTTATGTAATAATTGTTGTAAAATGTATGTTTTATATTTCTTAGAAAGGCATATCAAGGGGTAGAACTTCTGCTCCAGAATTTAAGAAAAAAGTGGAAAGGATTGTTCAGAAACTTGGATTGCCAATTCAGGTTCTGGTATCTACAGGATCTGGAAGATACAGGAAGCCAAATACAGGAATGTGGGATTATTTTGTTCAAAAATGTAATCAGGGAATAACTGTGGATGTTCCTTCATGCTTATATGTTGGTGGTTAGTATATATAGTATATAAAGTATATATAGTATGTATATATTATATATATATATATTATATATATATCATTAACATAATTCTTCATATTTTACTGTATATAATTAGCCATTTGTTGACTAAAAATGAAATTAATGTACAGTGTTATTTGAAATAAGTATGGTCTCAATTTTCTGTAGAAAGAGTGCTCAGTAATCTTTATTTTTCATAAAATTAATGCTTTATTACATCATGTTAATCAGATCTGTTTGTCTGTTTTCACTAATAAGTTGCAAAATATTTAAGTGATTTTATTTTACTTAATTTGTTGTTTTAGATCAATGCAGATTTTAATAAATTCTTAGATTTTAATTTTGCAACTTCTATCCAGGGCTTCATGTGAAAATCTTAAATACATTTAAGTAAAATATACCTTTGGTTTGAGCCAGTTTCCCTTAGAAAGTCCTCCACGAAGGCATCCCTCCCTTTAGGCAGATAGCCCTCGTGTGCTTTGCCATAATTAAATAATCCAAGCCAATCCAATCCAATCCTTAATTAAATATAATTGATTTGTAAATTCTACTAGAACTGACGTTAAGAATTGAAGTTCAAATAAATAATATCGTGTGCAATCTTGATTAATATAAAATTAAAAGTATTTGCACAGAAAAATATTTGCATTCAGACAGAAAGTTTTTTGGGTACTTTTCCGTTTTGCCAGCGCAAGCGATAAAGTCGCCAATAATGGTACAACCGATGCCAAACGGAATATTCTCGCTGGTAACCTTTTACGCCTCATTTTCAAAACAAGTCGCAGCTTTTTCTTATCAGGTTGATTGTTTCTTTCAATAGTGGCATATAATTACATAGAATTTTTATTAGATAGTTCAGTGTCTAAGGCCATTTTCGGTAATTAAGTCAATCAGGATGCAATCACAGCGCTTACCCGAAGCCGAAAATATAGAAAATGTAAGTCAAGGGTTAAATTCATCAATTTTAATGAGAATGCATTAGCGAAGTAAAGCACTGCAGCTTTTACATAATTTCTGAGTAAGCTATTCGTACGAATTGAAATATTTCTTGCATTTAAACTTGTGTTCCAAATTAAGATTTAACTTGAAGTTAATGTAGATAATTACTGCGAGCATTAGATTTTTGTAGAGTAGTTTACGTGAGATGAGATCGCTTGGAGTCACGTGATATGAACCGGCGAATCAAGATGTTGAACCATGAAAGCATAGTAAATTTTTAAATTAATGTCTTTTTACAAATTTACTGTCTTTATTTATTGGCTTTTTATAAAATTTTAAGCGATATTAAAATGTTTATGCTTTCAAAAAAAAAAAAAAAAAAAGAATTCTTAGAACTAACATTTTTTTTAATATTTTTTATGTGTATACTGTATGTTGTCGCCAATAAAGTCTGCTTGGCGAGATTTGCGCCGGCCAAACGGAAAAGTACCGTTTTTTGAAATATTTGCAATTATTTTATAAGAAGGATTTATTAATACCGTGATAATTACTTACTTATATATTACTGATGATTAGGATTCAGTTCTTGACAATACATTTTAAATTAGAATTTTAAGGATGTAATGAAAATACGCTACGCACAAAAACATTTTAGGATAAAAAAATGAGTTAATTTTTATGTTTTAAAATTTTCTTGAATTCATTTAATAAACATCGTATCCTCGTTGTTAATTGAATGTTAACAGAATGTTGGGGTGTCGTTTATATAATTATTCTTACTTGTCTCACAGAATCCTGCTGACTTATCCAACCATTAAGTAGCTGCAGATCATTTCTACATAACCATTGTAACTTCCATTAATTCAGGCCTCTAGAAAGTTGTATGTTTTATATTATAATTTGACTTTTATAAAATGATTATTCTAAATCTTATGTTTCTATAAAACTATACTGTGCTTTAAAACTATGGATGATAGTATCAGCCACTCTTTCAGCCACTTCATAAGCAATAGCTTGTTTAGAAATAAATTATGCCAGTTATTAATGTCATAAAATTCAAATAACATCAAACGAAAATTTTCAGTTTTAGGCAATTCGATTTAAACGAAGTAATGTAGCAGACGATAAAACGCCGAAGATAAAAAATTAGTCTTACAATTTATTTATTTTTTTTAGTTAAAGGAACAAAGAGAGAAATTTAAAAAAAAATAGTTAAAAATTTGGATAACATCATCTATAATTTTAAAAAATAGCTTTTCATTACATAGTATTAATAAATATTTATTACGCATCATTGAGGAAAGAAATTTCATATAATGAATTCTCCCTAAAATTTTACTCGAAATTTAAAGGTTAAAAATAGCTGCAATTCACTGTAACAAAAATCCATAAACCACATTTGGCATTATTATCGCTCAAAAAAAAGATGCCAAATTTCAAAACGCGAAAATATGTAAATTCGTGTATATCTCAGAAAATTTTGAATAAAAAAGTCTAATTTTTTGCAGATGCTTAAAAAATACACCTACTTTAAGATGATGGTAAAAGTTTTATAGGTTATAATTCAAAATTTTTTTCGAAAAATTTATAAAAATTATTTAAAAATAGAAATTTAAAAAATAAAACACAAAAAATGGGTAAATTTATTTGGAATAAACCTAAATTTCGAAATGTGAGAGAAAAAAAATTAAAAAAGTTTAATAAAAAAAAAAGAGATATTAATGAATATTTGCCAATTCAATTAACATTGAGGAGCTAAAATTTGAGAGCTAATATTTTAAAAACTACTCGTACGATTTTTACAAACTTGGTATTCTGGCATAATTTTAGACGTAGAATCGAAATATGGAAAAAAATTGGTATGTTATTTCAGAAAAAGTCCGATTTTGTGTCAAAATACCTATGTTAGAATAGTGCTATATATAGATCTAATATATATCCTAAGTCGCGCTTTCGAGACATGAAGAACGCAGTTTGAATTTTGCCAATCGCCCCAGTAGAACGGGAGATATAGCACTGCCCCTTTTTTTTTTTTTTTTTTTTTTTTTTTTTTGAGCAGTGTACATTTTACAGCTGATATGCAAAATATGAAATCTTACTAAATGTAATGTATAGCAGCATACAGTTAAGGCAGTAGCGTCCAAGTTTGCATGAAATTATTTTCTGGACCATTGCTGAGTTTATAAGCAATTTAATATTCAAGTAACTGAATAAAATAGGCATTTACAATCAGTGAAAGATCTTTTTAAAAGTAAAAAATTCTTTACTATCGTACATTTCCAGAATGCAAGTACTATTAGGTAACAACTGAGAGGTCAAAGGTAAATGGAAATTCTTCCAAAAACTATTTCTGACTTTAAATTAAGTAACATTATGTTTACTTAAATATAAGAAGTAAAATATTTTTTCTCTAATAAGATTCAGTATAATTTATCTTTTTGTATCAGAAACTATATTATAAGCTTGGACAGTAATAGTTTATAGTTCCAGCTGAAAGTCAACACTCTGTAAGTAGTATATATTTCATCAATTGCATAAATACATATATTGTAATGTGATTTTCTTTTTCTCTTTAGGATGCAATACATTAAAAATAAATGAGATTTTTTTTTACCTTCTCAAATATTATAACAGTAGTGCAATTAATTTTTAAACGTTATTCAAAATTAAAGTTTCCATCTCAATTTTTTATTATTTATTTTAGATTTTCTTCCTAAAATTATTTAATCTAAACATCTTAAACAATGGTGCAAATATTTTAAAGTGATTATTAAAAATATAGATAAAATATTCAGGAAAAAAGGGGTTAAGTTATATCTAAAAATAATTGTAAAAAATTGAATAACCTAATTTGAGGTCGTTGTCTGCCGACTCCCAGCAGACGGAAATAAAACCTACCTGCCGTATCAAAAGCACGCCAAACTGGCAATGAACAGCCTAAGTTCTCACTCCCCAAGAGCGCCAAGACGTGGTATATGTTGGAGACAGCCTAGCAGACAAATTCTCTATGGGTGAGCCGTTTACCTGTTATATGAAGTCGTTGAGTCATACAGATTTAAATCTGAAAAAATCAATAAATTGGGTGCTCAGTGTTTTTGTCTTCAATTCAAATTTTTACTGTTACTCATATTGATTATTATTTGATTATTATCATATTGATTTACTCATATTGATCATTTTAGCACATGCATTCTCACTGAAGAGCCAGATGATATGTTTTTGACTGTCATGACAATCAATCAATGTTAGCTCCTTTCATAATTTACCATTTCTCTGACATTTAAAAAATCTAAATTGTAAGTTCCATTATAAGCAGTTAGTCTACTGTAACTATAATAGTTACAATACTTAGCATGGAGTTAATCCACGAATGCCTGTAATGTGGGCTAATTTTTATATATAGTGTTTTAACTTAGCAGAAATTGTAGAATCACCATTCCCTGGATTGTGTGTTAATGCAAGAATAAAGATGATATGTCAGTTATTTCGTCCTTTATTTTAATTAGATTTGAAAAAAATACTGATTAGTATATATACAAAGTTAACAAAAATAAACATCAGATGTAAGTCGCTCGATACAGTCAAAGAAGAATCACTGGTGAGAATCCATGTTAGTGTAGTAGCAAGCATGCTAGTTGCAGGAAAGCTAGCCAGTATTGCATGAGATCAGTTTATTGCTTCACTAATGAACTATTGAGATTCTGTCATAAATTTTCTTTCCTACTGGAGGAGAGAGAAAAAGTTGGTAGCACTATCTTTTGGATCTAAATGCTACTTAAAAGTTCTGTACCGTATTTCCCCTCCTCCTCGAGTGCCTAATTTAAAAAAAAATGTCACTAATATCTGGTGTGTATGTGCACATGTCTTCCTGAGCATGTGGCGAGTGATGGAGTATTCGAGCAGAGGAGGAGGGTCTGTAGAAATAGGAGGATTTGAAGAAGCAAGGAGATCCAGAGAAGCAGGAGAATATTGATTGCAGGGATCAGAGAATTCGAAGCTTTGAAGAATGCAGGCTTCAGCCAATAAATTCCTAAAACAATTTTTTGGTCA